GTATCACAGCCAAAAAATACATTTTGGACACGCCGCTGGTACTAGAGGACAACAAACGAGGGGTTGTGCGAAGATTGTGAGGCATCCTTCAAGAAATTAAAGTATGCCCTGACACACTATGAAGTCCTCAAACTTCCGGATCCTAAACAACCCTTTGTTGTGACCACAAACGCCAGCCAATACGGCATAGGCACAATCCTAACGCAAAAGGAAAAGAAAAAGTTGAGGCCGATCGAGTAAAACGATGCCATCTCATAAATTAGCTAAGTCCACGTATGAGCCTGAGCCCTATGCCCTCTATAGAGCACTGGTCCATTGGCGCTGGATTAAGACACAGCCCGTGCTCTCCGACATACTCAAAAGGTGGATTGAAGTCATAGATATGTATGACTTCAAGCTCAACCCTCTGAAGGGAGAGTACAATAAAGTGGCTGACGCACTATTGCATAGGGCAGACTATCTGGTGCACTAGTGACAAAGTTTGGAATTTCTGACGTTGTAACTCGGTCTATGGTGGAAGCCTATCAAGAGGACGCAATCATGTATGAGATCATTCACAAACTAGAAGCTAAAGACAAAGCTACTTCCGACGAGTTTGTGCTGGTTGACGGCTTGCTGTTTTTTGAAAAGGCTGGGAATAAACGTTTGTGTGTTCCAAAGGGAGAGCACAACAAAGTGGCTGACGCACTATCGCATAGGGCAGACTATCCGGGCGCACTAGTGACTGAGTTTGGAATTTCTGACGATGTAACTCGGTCTATAGTGGAAGCCTATCAAGAGGACGCAATCATGTATGAGATCATCCGCAAACTAGAAGTTAAAGACAAGGCTACTTCCGATGAGTTTGTGTTGGTTGACGGCTTGCTGTTTCTTGAAAAGGCTGGGAATAAACGTTTGTGTGTTCCAAATAAAGAATCTTTGCGTAGTCTATTCTTAGGAGAATGCCACGATGCAACCAAACATTTTGGCTATAAAAAGACAGCTGCAAATTTACTGCAGCGATTTTGGTGGCCCACAATGATGGATAATGCAAAGGAGTATGTAGAAACCTGCCAGGTTTGCCAGAGGGACAAGCCACGGACGCAGGCTCCGCTTGGGCTTCTCAAGCCCTTGCCCATCCCTGCTGGCCCAGGTCAAAGCGCGTCCATGGATTTCATGGATACCCTTGTGACCAGTAAAAGCGGTAAACGGCACATCTTCATCATTGTGGACAGGTTCACTAAGTATGCTAGACTAATCAGTATGCTTGAGACAACTAGGACTGACCATGTCATCAAGCTATTTATGGAGAACTGCGTACGTGACTTTGGTCTCCCTAAGTCTATTGTGTTACATGTTGAGCTTACACACGGGCCCCAGTTTCAGCGGCCTGACGGTTGCTGAGGGCCCCCCAGGCCGCACGCCCTTCGGACGCGCGCCCTGGAGGCCCACAGCGGCCCTTAGGCCACAGGTATCGATTTGCGACAGCATTTATTTATTTATTTTCTGTCCTATTTTTGTCTGTTCAGACGTCGTTTCAGACTTGCAGTCCCCAAGGCTGTGCCTTGGGCTGGGTACACCAAAAGGCAGGCCTCCCCTGTCCAGGTACAGGGTCTGGACATCCGGTCGGGACCCAGACCCTGTAGGCCCACGTTTTGGGCACACGTCGGTAGGCATACAGAGACACACCCAGCCGCCCCAGCGCTACTTATAGCTGGGCCATGTCTGAGCAGACACACAGTTCAAGTAGCTCACTTCTATAGCGACACACTGCTGGAGCAGCCCTGCAACACTACAGCGCTATGCTAGGAGGTAGAGGTAGAAGCGTGGGTGCCTAGAGGGGCGGAGGCCATACCTGCATCGGCGGTACTTACCCGGGCGCCATAGCTGTGCTCCATGCCAGCGACCTGCACAGGACCACGATGACAGTTAGTACGGCGGCAGTTACCTGAAGGTGAGATAGTGAGGATGACGACATCTTCTTCTTCGTCGTCGTCTCGCCCTCCACCTCTTCTCCCTCCTTTCTCCTTCTCCTTCTTCTTCTTCTTCTTCCTCTTTCAGAGAGAGAGAGAGAGAGAGAGAGAGAGAGAGAGAGGTTACTGGCAAAGGTTACATCGGGCATTGTGCCCAGGATCTGATCCAACATTTATGTGGTAGACATTGATTGGACATTCGACAGGGGACTATTTTTGAACTTCGCTATCGTGATCTTGGTCTTCTCCCTCACCTCCATCTTCGTCTCGCCTCTCCCGTCCATCTCTCATCCGTGGTATCTCCCCCATGTGCGTGTGCCAGGAGGGACCTTTCTTCTGTGTATGCGGTCCCTCCTCCCTCTCTCACATGTGTGGTGTATGATGGGATGTCGCGTCAGTATCAGACAGGTCAGGTCATATCTTTGAGTCCCTTGGGAAATTCTGGACATAGTAGGAGATCAACAGGATGGTCCATCATACGTTATTCACATCCCTGGGTGCACACCCTGTTTTCCATGCATCCAAGTTGGCACCTTTCGCTGAAACAGAACAGTTTCCCTCCAGGTGATCAATGTTGCCCCCAACCATGGACAGACACGAGGACATTGGCGACATTGTTGAACACAAGCTGATGCCTGTGCCCAAGCCTCCAGGCAAAGGACGCCCTCCGAAAACGCAGATGCAGTACCGAGTGCGGTTCAGACACCATACGGATCCTAAAGAAGATCGGTGGTTCACAAGAGAAGAGCTAATCAAGACTTCTCCCCAAATTATCTCAAGTTTTGAACGAAATTTGAAAGGGAAGCAGCCTGCTGTGTAACAACTTGTCAGAGGACTATCAAAGTAAAGGAGGAGGGAGTGCGAGGGTTTATGCCTCAGCACAGGGCCCTGCAGCAGGCGCGTGCCCGCCCAAAGTGAAGGCCGGCCTCCTGAATCTCAATGCACCCTGAACTCGTCAATTTTTGCAAATCTTGGACGGCGCCAGATACGTCTGTTGGTTACATCCGCTTTGCTTGTGAGAATCCAAAGTATTAGTGAGCCTTCCAGGCTCTTCCAGCAACGTGGTCGAAGCAGGGAGCACCGCACGCTTGTGCCTGGGTGATTGGGCATGCCGAACCAATTTGGTCCCAGGCCACTGTCTAAATGGGCCTGTGCGCAGACACTTTGGCCGAGACTGAAGCTACTGGAAACTCGGTCTCACCCAGGAAGCAGGGCAAAGCACTCGCCACTTTCCATATAGGAAAGGGCTGGGCGCCTGGCTCGACATTCGGGCACTTGCCCTTGTGGGTAGAAGCGTTGCTGGAGCGTAGACTCGCGGGCTGCTTGCTGCTCTAGCACTAGGTGCGGGCCCGCGCCGGCGTCGAGAACGTAAAGGGCGCTGCTGAGGGCAGCGCCATAGCCCGACCTTCATAGCCAGGCTGGGGCTTGGACGTAGTCAGCTGGTGGTGGTGGTCTTCATGCATGAGGGTGAAGACGTGGGAAAGAAAGTAGAGAGAGAGAGAGAGAGAGAGAGAGAGAGAGAGGAGGTTGAAGACGTGGGAAAGAAAGTCTTGGCGGTGGTCTACAAGGGTCGACATCTTAATGTACCTCGATTCTGCTGCTGACGTCAACGGGATGCATTGTCAATTTGTAGGCTGCTAGTAGCTGTGTACTAGTAGTCTGGGCGCTGAGCGCCAAGTAGGAGGATGGGCTCTGGATACATGTGTTGGTGATGACGGGAGTATGCTCTCATTGACATTCGAATTCGGTGCTTTGGTTCTCCGTTGGTGAATATTAGTGCCTTTCTGCTTTCTGGACAGCGTTGGGCTTTCTGGCTTTCAATGTGAATTTGCATTCTGGATTTCTGTCATTTCACTATTGCCCATTTTCCTTGCAGTGTTGTTACAGTGGCCCAAATTCTCTCTCTCATTTCCTCCACAAATCAGACAAAACATCCATCCATAACAAAAAGGTATAGACAGCTAATATAATACAAAATGCAAGGTTGGCGACGTCTGTGTGGTTCAGCGCCAAGTGCCCACACACCCGTCTGCCGCCGAATTGGCACATTTGCACATATACACATGAATATATTTACTTGGTCCATAAAAGGGTGGAGGGCAAGAAGCAACTTACTTAAAGGCTAAAACCAAGGACTTCACCAACAAGAAAGCTCCGACCCCATACTCCAAAGATCCGAAAAACCTGGAGAGCCCTTGATGTCGGCCCACACAATGAAGATAAAGGCAAAAGACAACATACCTAACCCAGAAGGCTTCACGAGCAAGAACGCAGCCACCACAGCCCACAAAGTCTGAAAAAACTTGGAGAGCCCTCCGAGTCAGCCCACACACAAAGCAGCACTGGCACTCTACATTCACGCCACCACCATCTCGATCACTCGATGACTAATCTGCCAAATTCCACAAGATCTCCGCGCGCCAACAGGAGTGCTACTGCTTAAAACACCCAAAAAGCTGCCCCATTCTTCCATGTGCTCTGAAAAAGCAGCCCGCGGGAATGACACCCACAGCAAACACTCTCTGAGCCTCCTCGCAAAGGTATTATGGACAAAACCCCAAACACCCACCCCTGAAAAAGCTCATGGCCACCCACAAACATCACTTCATCATCAAAACAGCCCATGCTGCAAAGCAGGGCTTAGGCCATGTATAAAAACAAACCCAACAAACCACATCCAACCACAGAGAAAGAAAAGCTCGCTAGTACGAGCCCAATCCTAGCCGCTCAAATCTGCCAAAACAGAGAGCTAGCAAGACCAGGAAGTGGGTTGTTAAAGTACCCCAAATGCTCTCTCTCATTTCCTCCACGAATCAGCCAAAGATCCATCCATAACAAAAGTGTGTGTGTGTGTGTGTGTGTGTGTGTGTGTGTGTGTGAGTGTGTGTGTTAGAAACTGTGGCGCACACATACCATTTGGTTCCTTGCGAAGAAACTGTGGTGCACATATGGTTGTTATGAAAGAATCTGACGAGTCCACTTCCTTTTTTGTGCGGGAATTGCCCGCACCGCCTGCACTGCGGGCGGCAAGCAGTTTGTATGGTGGCTCGAGCTTGTTTGCCGTCATGTCAGCAGCTGTTGTTGAGTGAGTACATTATGTATTTGTACATGCTTTCTATTGAGAACTGCGATACTTATGATGCGGCTCTGATCTCCAAAGGTTGGCAGGTACGTTGGCAATGTGTAGATGTGCTGCTGCCTACATTCTTCCTTTACTATTGCCCAGCACAAAGAACCCTTACCATGCTGGGTGTTGAACTCTGGATTATGAGACTGACTTTGGTTGGTATGTACCATCCCAAAAGAAAGCCTGTAACCAGCCCTTTTCTTAGTATGCCACAGAAGTATGGGCCTACAGACATGGAGTAGGCTTACCTCAAATGTTTGGTCAACAATGCGGCTCATTACAACCATAGGATCTTCAGTGGGTTCTCCAAATGGTTGCCGCCCGCTTAGCAAAACATACGTAACAACACCAAGGCCCCACCTGCAAGTACACCAATAATAAAATATTCATGTCTTTCAAGCAGAAGAGGTCAGGGGATACCCTCATCATCATTCTATTCACTAGATAGCAGGTTATTGCAAGGAACCTGCCATGAGAACAAAATTCATGACCAACATGAAGTCACCAGTCAGCACGCATGAGAAGACCAGACTAAAAGCAGCATTAAACCACCTGTTACAATCCTGGTCATTTCCCAAGTGCAATTCAAAATGAAAGACAATGCCACCCAATTGCGAAAGAAATGAAAGCACTTGCAAGAGATAAAGACCAGAGGAGAGGTAAAGAAGAAGAAGAAGAAGAAGAAGAAGAAGAAGAAGAAGAAGAAGTACACCAGCAAGACCAATGACAATTCCCCCTTCTCTCTCCACGTTCCTCCTTCCTCCTTCTCTTCACCAATCTTATTCTTCTCTCAACAATAGTAATAACAATGAATGGATGAACCAGAATCAATGTCCGAAGTTCCCCCTTACTGCTGACTCAACTCACAACAACAACAACAACAACAACAACAACAACAACAACAACAACAACAACAAGTCCACCATGGCTATGTCTTCCCTACTTCAACCTCCTCTCTCATGCATAGGCCATGGCGGACTACTGGGGGCAGCTATGGTGCTGCCCTGATGTCCAGAAGACAACTCAAAGCAGCTATGCCGCTGCTTGACTTGGTCCGCTATGCCTGACTCCGCCTTGAGCTGCTCTGGTGCAGCGCTACCCCAACTGGGTCCTTCCAGATGCAGCGCCCAACAAGGTGATGAAGACGGTGTCCACCATAGCCAGGTAAGTGCCCTACCACTCTCCTACCATGCCCCCTTCTTCCTCGTTCTCAAGCTGGGGTGCTCGCCATAGCCAGGCTGAGCCCCAGCGGACCTTCACCTCCAAGCAGCGCTGCTTCAGTCCAGCGCTGCGCTCCAGCAG